CCAAACCCCCACCCCTACTCAGCCAGAGGCAGAGGTTCCTTCTGGCTTGCACTTGTCTGTGGAGCAGATCCAGGGCTCTGGCTTACCACCCACTCCTGCAACACACAGAAAAAGCTTGACTCCCAGGAGCTCTGCCACACCCAGGATCTCAGGATCACAGAGACAGCTGGACTCCCAGAAGTTGTGACACAACCAGGCTCACAGGAGGGACAGGTTCCAGTCAGAGACAACAAGGGCAGTGAGAATTAATGATAACCAGATGGTGAGAGGCAAGCTCAAGACCATAAGCAACAGAAACCCATGCTATTTGACAACATCAGAACTCCCACCACACCAAGCCCTGGATACCTCAACACACCTGAAAAGCGAAATTCAGATCGAAAACCCATTTCATGAATATTATAGAGGATTTTAAGAAGGTCCCTTAAATAAAGGAAAATATAGGTAAACAAGTAAAAGCCCTGAAAGAGAAAACACACGAATCTCTTAAAGAAATAGAGGAAAACACAATCAAACAGGTGAAGGAATTGAACAAAACCATCCAGGATCTAAAAATGGAAATGGAAAAACCTAGGAAAGAGATCTGGAGTCATAGATACAAGCATCACCAACAGAATACAAGAGATAGAAGAGAGAATCTCAAGTACAGAAGATACCATAGAAGACATTGGCATAACAATCAAAGAAAATGCAAAAGCTCCTAACCCAAAACATTTAAAAATCCAGGACACAATGAAAAGACTGAACTTAAGAGAATTAGGTATAGAAGTGAGTGGGGATTTCCAACTCGAAGGGCCAGCAAATATCTTCTACAAAAGTGTAGAAGCAAACTTCCCCAGCATAAAGAGAGATGCCAATAAACATACAAGAATCCTATAAAACACCAAACAGATGGGACCAAAAAAGAAATTCCTCCCATCACATAATAATTAAAACACCAATATGCACAAAGCAAAGAAAGAATATTGAAAGCAGTAAGGAAAAAAGGTCAAGTAACATATAAAGGGGACCCACCAGAATTAAACCAAACTTCTCAAGAGAGACTCTAAAAGCCAGAAGATCTTGGGCAGAGGTCATGCAGACACCAAGAGAACAATAATGCCAGCCCAGGCTACTATACCCAGCAAAACTTTCAATTATCATAGATGGAGAAACCAAGATATTTTATGAAAAGCCAAATTAGTGCAATATCTTTCCACCAATCCAGCCCTACCGAGGATAATAGAAGGAAAGCTCCAACACAAGGAGAGAAATTACACCCTAGAAAAAGCAAGAAAGTTATCTTCTCAGGACAAACCCAAAAGAAGAGAACCACACAAAAATAACAGGAAGCAACAATCATTAGCTCTTAATATCTTTCAACATCAATAGATTCAGTTCCCCAATAAAAATATATGTACTAACAGGCTGGATATGTAAAAAGGACCCAGCATTTTGCTGCATACAGGGAACATACTTTAGTGACAAAGACAGACACTACCTCAAAGTAAAAGGCTGGAAAAAGTTTCCTGGCAAATGGTCCCCAGAAACAAGCTGGAGTAGCAATACTAGTGTCTAATAAAATAGATTTCCAACCAAAGGTTATCAAGAAAGATGGGGAAGGGTACTCCATACTCTCTCACCAATCGACAGATCATGGAAACAGAAACTAAACATTGACACAGTGAAATTAAGGGAAGTTATGAACCAAATGGACTTAACAGATATCTAAAAGATAGGGGAGAAGTACAGAAGAGGGTCAGGAATTTGAAAGGAGGTGTAGCAGAGGAGGAGAGGAAACAGAGTAGCCACTAGAAAGTCCCAGATGCCAGGAACTAAAGAGGTTCCCAGGACCCAATAGGGAGGACATTAGCCAAAAATACCCAACAAGGGGAGATAGAACCTGTAGAGATCATATCCAGTGGGTAGATATGGCCCCCAGTTGAGGGATAGGGCCATCCACCCACCTGAAAAAATCCAGAATTCCTATTAAAGGAAATGCAGGGACAAAGAGTAGAGCAGAGAGACTGAAGGAAAGTCCATCCAGAGACTTCCCCACCTAGGGATCCATCCTATCTAGAGACACCAAACCCAGACACTATTGCTGATGCCAAGAAATGCTTGCTGACAGGAACCTGGTAAAGCTTTCTCCTGAGAGGCTCTTCCAGAGCCTAACTAATACAGATGCAGATACAGGCAGCCAAACATTGGACTGAGTGTTGGGACCTCAATGGAGGAGGTAGGGTAAAGACTGAAGGAGCTGAAGGGATTTCCAACCCCAGAGGAAGAACAACATTAACTAACTAGACACCTCAAAGCTCCCAGGGACTAAACCACCAATGAGAGAGTCCACATAGGGGGATCCATGGCTCTAGCTGCATATGTAGCAGATGATGGCCTTCTCTGACATCAGTGGGAGGGGAGGCCCTTGTTCCTGTGAAGGCTCAATGTCCCAGTATGGGGGAATACTATGGTAGTGAGTCAGGAGTGGGTGGGTGGGTAGGAGGGAGAGCATTCTCCTAGAGGCAGGCAGGGAGGGGAAAGGAGATAGGGGGTTTGTGGAGGGGAAACTAGGAAGGGGGACAACATTTGAAATGTAAAGTAAAATAACCAATAAAAAAATGAATAAAAAAAGCATATATCTTGGTATAGAAAAATGTTACTATCATTAATCCATTGTGTTTTTTTTATGAAAATATTGTTAAGTAATTTTATTTCCTTTGATTCTGTGAATCATGGTACAGTAGGTAGTTTCTTTGGAGTCTGAAGTGTTTTAAATGAGTCTTGGAAAAGGGTTGGTTGATGTATACCCACAGGGCATAGGACCTACCAGAGAGGACAGATTTTTAAGTTTTTCCAAAACAGGAAAGTAAATCACAAGGAATAACGGGAGTGAAAGCAAGCAACTGCTGAGTTGCCATACTATTGACCTCTTCATGACAATATATTATTCTTCTGGTTCATTCTGGTTTGAAAAGGGTTCATTGTAGACCTTCTGAATATGGAATTTTATCTTAATCACCTCAAGTGTTTGCCTGTTAATTTAGCCATGCACAATACATTCTCATTCCCTAGGGTTGGGCAGGAGGTGACGATGGAAAGAACTTTCTTTGTTACTACTTTCATTAAGCAAATTTAAATATAGTTGGTACTGTGAATTAACCAGGGTTTCCTAATTTTAACATCATCATAAGTACACAGTTATGCGTAAACCCTGGTTTTCCATTCAGGGCCGTGTGCAAAGAAATAGTGAGGATAGAGTATGTTAATTCAAAATTCCACTCTTGGTTTCTGTCACAGTATGGACAAGGTGAACAGGGGGTTATGAACATGGCCTCAGGATTTCAAGTATCACAATTACAGTTTTCTCTCCAACATTCCAGTTGTTGGTATCAGCTACTGTCTTCCGCTTCCTGTGATGGAAACAGAAAGGTGCGACTAAGCCACCATGTGCAATGTTCAGAGTGTCTTCCGCTTCCTGTGATGGAAACAGATAGCTGCGACTAAGCCACCATGTGCAATGTACAGAGTAGGAAAGAATCTGGAGAGCAATCTCAGGAGAGAAGGTTCTGCAGTCTATGGGTTGTACTCCACCATTAATGCCTGCTCAGAAAGGAACACAACATACACACACACACACACACACACACACACACACCCGTAGGAAATGTTCCATCTGCTGTTGAAAGTAGCTCATTTTCCAGTATGTTACAGATGAAAGGAGTCTGTCTCTTAATTACAACATAACATAAAGTGGGCTTACACTAGGCGTCAGGGTCATGGCAAGGTCAAAATGTACTGCGTCAGTTGAGACAGATTACATATCCCAGAACGGAGAAGTCAAGATCAACACTTGCAAGATGGAGGGGCGCTGAGACTCTGCATGTGGTCAGACCTGGCAGTTGGTGCTCGTGCTTGCTGGGCATTCTTCTGCAGTGCTTTTCTTTTCTCTGCCATTCCCATATGAAATTTCTCCTGTTAGTGAGAACCAATTTTAAATGGTTTGGGGGCATCTGCTTTTTTATTCTGCCTAGTTCTAGAAGAATACTTCCATTTAATTTCCAAAGAAATTCACGGCATCTGTAATATGTTCATGCTTTATTATTAAAACCAAAAGAAACTCAAGACCATATCCATTTGATAGGCACAGAAGTAATGTATGCTAAAGGATGCGTATCTTTCCTATCTGGCAGGTAAGTAGACTTAGTACAGTACTCAGTAGATGCTTACAAACTTTGGCTGAATTACGTAGGGTATGTGTAATATTTAAGGATCACATCTAAACATAATTTGAGCATGCTGTTCTCAAATCTGTTTAAGACATATGGTTATAAATAATAAATTAATATTTATTCTAGCAAAACCATTTAGGAATTAATTAAGCCTATTATTTTGAATGTTGTAGCTGATGTTCTGGTATTACAAACCTTAAAAGGTTTCACTGGTATCTCTAAATCCATAAAATGTCCTGCACATCCAACGACAGAGGGCTTAGAATTAGATCTCCGAAGTCAAAAGTATAATAAGCTTATTAACCAAGTGGGAAGCAAATACAGTACAAATGCATCAGGAAAGTCTATTTCTTTTTTCCACTCCCGGCATAAAAGATAGAGGAATTTGGATACCAGGTGGGAAGGTTTTGTTAAAGCACACATAGGCACAGCACCGAATGGCTTCTTTCTGATTCAATTTCATAAATCGCTACATGAGGAAGCACTCTCTGGTAGACAACCCTCAGAAATCAGCACTTAATATGGCAGTAATGGTTATTGCTGTCATTCTTTACATCTTTAAAAATAATTAAGCATTACTGCACAGGCATTATAAAGTTCCCCCTATCACCATTAAGAGAATATTTGAGGTTTGATGTAATTTAGCAAATTACATTATACAGTAGTTAAGGTTTTATGCAGTGGAGTTAACTGAGTAGTAGTTAAGCACACTTCCCATACAGGGCATTGTACAGAGTTACATGTTCCAGCTGCTGTCAGTTCTGTTCCAGTGTCATTATTGCTTTGCAGGCTGATGTTCCTCAGGGAGTGATTCGAGTGCAAGCTCCCCATCTTTCAAAAGTTTCCATGGCAATACAGCTAACTGAAGAACTAAAAGCCAGCGATGTACTTGCCAGGTTTCTCAGCCAAGAAAGGTAGAGGCCTGTTTTAATTATTCTGTTGGATAACTCACTTTTATATTTATTCTCTCTCTCTCTCTCTCTCTCTCTCTCTCTCTCTCTCTCTCTCTCTCTTTCTCTCTCCCTCTCCCTCTCCCTCTCCCTCCCTCCTTTCTTGCCTCTCCTTTTTCCAGCTCAGTGTGTGTGTGTGTGTGTGTGTGTGTGTGTGTGTGTGTGTGTGTGTGTGTGAGAGGGGGGGAGCACATGAACAGCAGAGCAGATTTGACAATGAGACCCTTGGAAAGAATAGTCAGAGGTAGACTGTGTGCAACTTGAAGTTGTTTTACATAGCACAGCGTGTGAGCAGCCCTTCACCATTTGCCTACAATGAGCTTGGCAAATGAAACTACCACAACGGTCTTTACAGAGCACTTGGTTGGAGGTTAATTATTGTTTGTAGGCTGTTACAAAGATTGCTAATTAGGATGCAGTGGGATTAAAATGAAGATGTAACTTTCCTCCATGAAATTTAATGAATAAGAAAGAAATGTTCCATTTGAAAACTGAAAGTTTGGGTGATTGCAAAGGACACCCAGGCCCTGAGATCTGAAGTCAGGAGAAGAGAACAAGCTGTCCTCATTACGGGAGGACCATGTCCTTTTTTGTCCTGGGGCAGATGCTAACTATACAGTCCTTAGAAAGCTCCTCCTCATTGTATGCATTATAGTCTGTGTGGTTCCCATTCGACCTGTCTTAAATTTGAGAGGTCCTATAGCTTTTCACATTTAAATATCTTACTTTTGGCTTACATAATATTCCTCCTATTTATGCCATGGAATTAAATTTTTATTTTAGAAAATGTGTGTGTGTGTGTGTGTGTGTGTGTGTGTGTGTGTGTGTGTACAAATTTATGGAGTCCATTCTCTTTTCCTACCCTCCTGTGGATCCTAAGGGCTAAACTCAGGTCACAAGGCTTCTGCAAGAAGCGCCTTTACCCACTGAGCTGTCTTATCAATCAAGAATTTTAATCTAAAGTTCTTAAAAGAAATCCAGAATGTTAGCATCTAATACTCTTAGCCTTTCATTGAGGTTTATATCATGTTCTACCGATGGGGAGGAGCTTCAGTCAGGTTTTCTGCTGATGCCTGTGCAGAGTCAATAAAGCATCTTATGTTAATATTTGTACTCTGAGACTTTGCTAAGTGTTAAAAGGAGTAGAAACCTTAAAACAACCGCTCATTCCCCATTGTATAAGTTGGGAGAATGGATGGACCTTCATAGCTCATAGATGTCATGAAGTGGCATGGGAACTGTGGGGCAGTCACACTCAGCACTCTGCAGACTAGCATCAACTTCCCTTGCAGTGGAAGTCTGCAGCAAACACCATCATTCCTTCTGTTTCACTGATGAGAGCTTAGCTAGAGAACACATTTGCCTCAGATCACACATGAACCTATATTTTGTCTACAGAAGCATTCCCTAAACTCATCTCATACCAGCCTCTGGGAGTCACACTGGCATTAAAGCCCTGAGTTGAATCTCTCAGAATTAGGGGCTGGGTGCATTTGGAATTTCTCAGATTGACCTTTTCTCCCTGGAGTGTCTCTACTACAATAAAGTTAACTAGCTCCATCTCTCATCCCCAACTTTGACCTGTAGATGCCACTTTTGACCTTCCTTTCCTCCATGGGCTTGTTCCCTTCCCTCCCAGATGTGTTTCTGGAGTTCCAGATAATTTGACACAGCAGACTCCTACAAGCTCCAAGGACTTCTGTTCATCTTCCCTATTTAGATGTTCCAATGGTAACTCCTTATGAAGTTGTACAATGTGTTCAACTGTGACTTTAATAGTTTGGGTACAACCAGAAACACTAGTCCGTATATTCAAATGCATACTGTAATGGTTTGTATATGCTCTGCCCAGGGACTGGCACTATTAGAAGGTGTGGAATAGGTGTGTCACTGTGGGAGTGGGCTATAATACCCTTATCCTAGCTATCTGGAAGCCAGTATTCTGCTAGCAGCCTTCAGATAAAGATGTAGACCTCTTAGCTCCTCTGGCACCATGGCTGCCTGGATGCTGTCATGTCCCTGCCTTGATAATAACGGACTGAATTTTTGAACCTGTAAGCCAGCCACAATTAAATGTTGTCCTTATAAGAGTTGCCTTGGTCATGGCATCTGTTCACAGCAGTAAAACCCCTGACTAAGATACATGCTATTCTGGCTTCAACTTGTGGCTGGTGTTTTAAATGCTAATATTGTCATGTATTCTGTGTATATTTATATGTGCACATGGGTACACGTGCCACAGTGCTTGAACACGTTTTCTCCTGCCATGTTAGTTCTGGGTCATTGGGTTTGGCAGTAGGAACTTTTTCCTACTGAACATCTCCCACATCCAAGCTTAAAGTCTTCATTTTTCATTTGGAGGAGCAGGGCAGAATAGAACTTCCTTAAATTCTTGTGGGAACTGAGTAGGAAAGTGACCACTAAGTCCTATTGATGTATGTGGGACACAGAGTGAGGGCAGTCCTCAGTAAGCATATGTACTGTGTATTTTCTTTAATCTGTACTTTTTCCCATTCATATCCCACCTGTTTGGAACAGTCTGGAAGCTAGCTCACTTTCCCTCACCATTCCCTGTCTAACTATCTCAGCCCAAGCCAATGAGCATACATCAGAGCAAAAACAACAAAAAATTGGCCATTCTCCCATCAGTCTTTAGTAAAATATTGATGCCTCTCATTTTGTTAGGAATTTGTTGATCTTATATGAAAGCTATCTTGTGCCAGAAAATTTGTTTAAGCTTCCTGGAAAAGGAAAGAACTGTGTAGATATTTGGGTCTTGCTCTGAGAGCAATATTGGGAGGTTCTTAAAAATCAAGTCTTTTATAATATTCCTTTGGGGTTTTCTAGCCACAGTAACTCTTGATTGGAATCAGAGTATGACTGTTGGTTGGTATACAAGACAGCAGGTAGAAACTTAAGCCTGGGCAGACAGAAATGCAGTGGGCGTGGTGCTGGGAGGAGAAGATGGGATAACCAGAGAACCATAAGTGCTTATTAAACATGCACTTATGCTAGGAAGTCCTTGGAGCCTGAGTAGTGTCAGACTTGCTTATTTTCCTCTTGCTAACATGATGTATTTCCTCTAGGCTTGAAAAAATTATGTGTATGGGTGTTTTTGAGTATGTGTCTATACCATGTGTATACAGTGTCTATGGACTCACAGAAGATGTTTGATTCCATGGAAATGGAGTTATAGCTGGTTCTAAGCCACCTTGTCCCAGTCCTCTGAAAGGTTAATCAGTGTTCTTAACTACTGATTTATCTCTTTAGCCTCTCTCCTCTGGACCTTTTATTAGCAACCCACAACTTTTCTGTTCACCTAACCCACACACCACAGAAGATTTTAAAAGCAAATTCTGGAGCTTCCTCCTAGAAATATAAAGTTTGGCTCTAAAGTTTTATCAGGTTTCTGAAGTGATTCTCTTATAGAATTACTTAGAAAAATCACTGAATTGGAAGTTTTTGTGTATGTGTGCACTTAATATTTTAGAAAAGTTTACTTTTATAACTAATATGTAAATCCAAAAAATATACATAGTTACTTAGTAGTGAGAGGTTGCCATTTGTGGATATACTATGTAAAGTCAAAACATGGCAGAATATATCTATTGGCTTAAGATACAACAGCTTTTTGTGGTAGATGGAAAAGTCTATTCTTTGAAGAATGTAAATGTATAAACAGCACACTGAGTGATGTTAAGTCCTGAGTGCACTGTTTGGTTGGACACACCTTCCAAATTTGAATGGCCAGCATATGGGACAGGTCTCAATTGCTTGTAGTCATCTTGTACACCACTACTGTCTTCTCACACAGTCTCATAGTGAATACCAAGCACAATGAGAAAACGGAGTCAGAGGCTTGGCCTTTACAGGAACAGATAATCATATTAATAGTCATACAATATCAATGCTGTATTAACTTGAGTTTTCAGTGCTTATAAATTTAGAACCTGATTTATCCCATTGCCATTAGATATCTGATTCTATTTATTTCATTTCTAAGTGGGACACTTTTATTACCTGTTTGGCATATTTAACAGATGGGAAAAATACAAAAGTGTATAACTACAGTATGTCTGAGTTATGAATTATCTATGCTGGCTAGAACTCCCTAGCCTGTTAAATAGATTTATTTGCAAGCAGTTTAACGATGCAGCTAATCAGTTTGTTTTGTCCCTGATAGTGGGGTTGCCCAGACACTCAAAAAAGGAGAAATTTTCCTGTATGAGATTGGAGGAAATATTGGTAAGCACAATTTCATTCTATGTGGTGATGTTGCCAATAGTTGATATTTATATCTGTAAAAGAAAAATGTTGCTATATTCTAAAGCAATAATAGCAAGCCATAGACAGTTGCTGGTTGGTATGGGTTTGCTGAGTGGATTGACTGTTCTTTCTGGGGCTTCTTTTTTAGCCCATTCTGTTTGCATAGTCATTAGAACTCACCCTCGGCACATTTGACTGTTCCTTTCACTGTTAGATCTTGGAAATTAGTGTGGTTTCTTGGCTGGATTAAAAATGACTGCTATGTTTAATAAAGGTGGGGATGATTTTAATGAAGCATTTAAAGTCCATCACACAAAGCGTTTTTCTGCATCTTAATTTAATTTGATTCTGATACTTAGAGAATGACTAGACCACCCAATTGACTTTTTCAATGCCTGGGCTAGTCCTTTGAATGCTGTCATGAGAAACCAGGATAAGAGAGTGATAAAGACTTTGAAATCTAAGCTCTTGAGCCATTGCTATAGTTTTATGATTGTGCCCGCTGTCTTAACTTACACCACATCTCCTTTACAGGGGAACGTTGCCTCGATGATGATACATACATGAAGGACTTGTACCAACTGAACCCGAATGCTGAGTGGGTCATAAAATCCAAGCTGGTGTAGACAACTATCCCGAGGACATGTCATCATTCTTGCTGTGTCAAGAGTGTAAATAAAAGTAGCAGGTTTCTTAACTATTCAGCTGTACCCAATTATTACAAAGTGACATCCTCAAGCCTTAAAATTATAAATTTTTTGTGACTTCCACAATTGTTAATTATTATTATTAGAAAACAAATATTTTTGAAGTAAATGAAAAGGGGTCTTAGTTACCTTGTGGGCTGTTTATACACACTTAAAAATGTGACAGTTTTCTTTTGTATAGAATAACTTCTCTACCACTTTTTTTTTCTTTATGGTACTAGGTATGGAACAAGAACGTTGCTCATAGTGGGCAAATTCTTTAGGACACCTAGTGATATCTCTAGCAGATTAAATACTCTTTCCTAATAGATTTATGAATAGAGTTTTGGGTTGATTACATTTTAAGAATGTTGTCTTCCCTTTCTTACCTCTTCTCATTTACTTTCCCTTAATAAAATTTGCTTTTTAACCAGAAAGAGATAGTTAATAGCAGGTATGGAAAGCTATGAAGGCAAAGATAACTCAGCAGTATTCTTGTTACCACAAGATGTTAGTACTCATGGCTTCAAATCATCTGTCTATACAATGCAGGCATTTATTTCTTGAGCTTATCAAACTCATGTGCACAAAGCTGTATTCATTATCAAGACCCAGACTGCCAGGACCTTCCAATTATCACCAAAGTATTAAATGCCTAAACACTCAGGGGAAAAGCTGTTTGTGTGTACAACACTTTTTCAGATGGAATCTGAAAAGTCACATATCAAGTTACTTGGCAACATTATACAAACCACAATAGTACAACCTGGAACCATTGGAGAATGCATTGTAAAATGCCACTTTCCCTCCTGCCAGAATGAGTCTACAGGGCATGACAATCATTTATGTGAACAAGGCTTTGCCTGTGTGTATATTTTAAAGAATCTGAGTCAGTTTGTTAAGATGCTGTAGAAAGTATTATCCCCAGGGCTTTTTGTGCACAGAGCATACTGTGACAGAACACGGACCTCTGCTGTAAATAAGAGAAATGAAATATGAGCAAGGTTCACTATTTTATAAGGGTAGAGTGTCATTGACGAGAGGTGGCATTTGTGGATGAGGTACCGATGTGTCAGTGACTCTGTTGGTAGTTCTTTAGGGGAAGCTGTGCATCCTCAGAAGCTCTTGATGCCACTCTAGGAAGGAAAGTGCTGTTCACAAGAACAGGGAATGTCGAGCATACAGTGACGAGAGTGGCCTGTGGATGGATGAGCGCTGTGGTAGCACCATGGATGGGTGCTTCGGTAACGCCATGGGGATTTGTGCCATTGCTTTTTGTATTTAAAGAAATTTTATAATTAAATGACTTTTTCTAAACAATCTTCTCTTGGAATTATTGCTTTTATACAGGTGTGTATATTCATGGGTCTATGTTTGTTTAAATTATTTTAATTAACGGTCTATTTTCAATGTAATTAAGTCCTATTTCCTACTACTCTTTATTGGTTCTATGTTCCTGTGTAGTTTTTAAATTCAGAAGGCGTTTGAGAAAAACTTATTTTCTGTTTTAGGTTTCTTCCTCTGTATCCCCTTACATAAATATCTATCCCTTAGGGCTTTCAAAAATATATTTTAGTCTATTCTTTATTATAAGAGTATATTCATTTCCTATTTTAACAAACTTTTTATTAATGATTTATTGTTCAATGCAAACAATGAACAATTCTGAAGAAAAAAATATGTGCTTGAAACAGTTAGGGCTCTTCAGACAAAAGGCCAAGAGTCAGGATAGTGATATAAAGAAACGTTTCTAGAACATATGTCAAGTATTTGTTACAGGCTGCCTGCATGCTTGGGTGGGCTGGAAGAAGAATTTCCAGGCTTTGATGGGGAAAATGGAAAGGCTGTTTTATTCTCAGCCATTCTTAGAACTCATGGTGTAAATTCACTGGCACTGAACGCATATGTAAACAACATACATACATATACACACATATCATATATGTAATGCAATATATGTACACACATACACATAATGCAATAAATACACACACATCTACTTCATAAATTTCTCATATATATATATATAATGTGAAATATATATATATTTCATGTATAATATATATATAATGTGAATATATATATAATGTGAAAACAAACACATTTGCTTTGAATCTCAAATCTTTTTGAGTTCTTGCTGATGAAAACTCTGAGAGTCGGTGTTTACCCTGTCACCTGTCAGGTGGACTTCCTGTTCCCATTGTCCTACTCTTGCTTTCCTGCTTGGCCACCTCACTCATTGGTATAATCCTTCAAGATAATTCTAGTCCTTGTTATTGCTTTCACTTGTACAACCGTGGCTTAGTTATGGGAGATTGATATAAATTCCTTGTTGACCATCTCTGGGAAAAGTCCATTGTTGTAGAACTGGTTTAGACTTTGTGGTTGTCCTGATTTCCCACCTGCTTATCAGTAGGTGGCAGTATTGGGCAGAGATTCCTTGAATCCAAAGAGAGACGTTTAAGACATGAATAGGAGTTCATACATATGTTGCTGCAACTCAGTGCCAGGCACCTACAGCAGTTAGATGATAACACTCTGGGGCTCTGTTTGAGTTACTCATTCAGAAATTGTAAATAATAATTAACATCAGAGGTGTGTGTGTGTGTTCAATGAATTTGTCTGCTTTAGTCCTTAATCTATTGGATGAATATGTGACATGTATATCAGACACAAAATTAAACTTTCAGTAATGTCTTGTTTAAGCAAAAGTGTTGTGAGGCAAACCAGAAGGATATGGGTAAGAAGCTCAGAAATAGGAGACTTCTGTTTCTATGTGTCTTAGTATATATGTGTTTCTTCATTCAACAAATAATTATTAGATGTATGTATGTAAGTATGTATGTATGTATGTATGTGTGAAGTAGGCTGTGGCCTTGGAATTCCTCAATAGACAAAATAATCACAGGCATTGATCCTATTGGAGTCACATTTTAATAATGGAGACAAGTAATGAATTAAACAAAAGTAATAAGTGAATAGAGCTACAGAGTATAAGGAAAGGTGCTGAGGACAGCAGGGGTATAAAGAGGCAAAGGGGTCACTCAGTCAAGGACGAGGACCTGAAATGAGCGCTCTCCTTGAATAGTTACACCTAAACAAAGACTTGGACAAAGAGCAGGTTTTTCTGTGTGAATATTTAGAATGATATTTTAAACAAAGGGAACATTGAGGACCAAGGTCCACCATAGGAATGTGCTTTGTCAACACTGTGGCTGGAGCAGACTCAGGGCCAGAGAAAGAAAGCAAAGGTCAAAGAGGGAAATGCAAAGGCAGTTCCAAGATCATGAATCCTGGGTTAGGAGGATGGTAATTTATTGCTCATGTTAGAATAGTCATTGAGAATACACTATTGGCAAAAGTGACAGCTGTGAAGAAATGACACTCCGCTCAGTGACAGCAGAGCCTTCGGGGTTTCTTGCGGGAGACAAGAATGTCCAATCTCAAAATTTTTAGCTTGGCACTTTGTAAGGTGGAGTCTGGGTTAAATGTGCTCTTGGCTGAGGTCAAGAGAAAGAGTGTGGATTTTTAGATAGAAAATAGGAAATGGCTGGGCAGTGGTGGTGCACGCTTTAATCCCAGCACTTGGGAGGCAGAGGCAGGCAGATTTCTGAGTTCAAGGCCAGCCTGGTCTACAGAGTGAATTCCAGGACAGCCAGGGCAACACAGAGAAACCCTGTCTCGAAAAACCAAAAAAAAAAAAAAAAAAAAAAGAAAAAAGAAAAAGAAAAAAAAGAAAATAGGAAATGGGGCCCTAGAACTTCCTGGTGTTAGAGTCTAGAAAATGAATGAAACAAAAAAGTCTGAGAAAGAAACGCTCCCTGAAGTGAGAGATTATAGTGTACGCAAAGTCACAGAAAGGCACCAAAGTCATATGAGATCCTCCTTGTAGCTCAAATCAGTTAGGATTGCTAGATCGTAGGATTTACCTCTGTTGATCTTGATGAAGTTGAAAATACTAGGAGTGATTATAGCAGAGCTAAGTTCCCATAAGGTGTTCTGCTGCTGCATCCTATGAGTGACACTAACTTCAGGGGGAGGTGTTCTGGTCTAGTTGAGGTTTTGAAGTTTATTTACTGTTTTGAGGACAGTTGTCATAGGTGCAGGAGACAATATGGACTATTTTAGTGTGACTTTGGGCACATTTCTTACCTGAGCTTCATTTTTTGCTTTGTGTAACGTTAATGGGAATATTCAATTATTGGTAGCTTTTTAAAATCTTTCTGTGTCAAGAGCTCGCATACTTACCTGATAACATATAGTCAATAAATGACAGTATTTTTATTAGTGGTTATCAGAACTGTACCATGAGAATTCTCACAATATCATGCTGGTGATCTGAGATTCCCCTTGACACAGAGCAAAGGTGTAATAGACTTATTAACACCAGGTTAGAATCAACAGGAGAACCAGGGAATGGGGTAGCAACTATATTGAGAAGAGTACAGTACTCCCATCAGGTAATTCTCACAGTACCTCTGATGAATATTACATTCTCCACATTAGGAATCACTTTCAACCTAGATACTTAAGGACTTCCCTTCTCCCCTTCATAGCACTCAAGGCTATGGGTCAAAGGCCAGACAATTTCACTGAAAGTCTGTAGTACCAGATCTTTCTTTGAAGATTGGTGTCACTGTGAATTGGATAGAACATCTTTTTTTCCCCATTTCATATGAGCTCAGCCCAACACTGAAGGTGATTTGTTTCATTTACAATGAAGATTGCCACAGGGATAAGGCAAATCTATACCTTAAATTTTAGTTTACTTTACTATTTGATTGTATTTGTACTTGCTATGACTAGGAGGACGCTGGGCATCTTGTGTCAGCTGCTCCCATTGAGTAAGGTCCCATTTTATTCGCCTGGCTTTCTTGGGCCTATGGCCTTTCAAATTCTATACTTAATACACAATAGACATCATTGGCCTTCCACCTTTACTGGCCCCTCAACCTGGCCTTGGCATCACTTTCTGTTTTCCCTGTGACAAGTATTGTGTGGAACAGCCTACCTCTCTGATCAGAAGGATATAAGAGGAAGTAAAGAACCCTTTCCCTGTTGTAACCATTTCCTTAACTCTTTAAGGTTTCTTTTGAGGGAACTCTCGGGTTGTTTTCACATACATCTGCACTTACTATGAGTGAAAGCACCTGGCTGCCAGGAAAGACACTTGAGTTGCTTGTACCTGAAGCCAAGACACTGGCTTTGTCTAGCAAGGCTTTCATCCTGAGCTTCTAAGTCTCTATTTCTCAACTAACGCAGCTCAGATATACTTCAGGGAGAGCCTCCACTCCTGTTTATCCTGCTTTTGATGTCTAGCCTCCAACACCTCTCAGCTGTTCAGCTCTGTGTCTTCTTGCATCTCCTATAACCCTTATAAAATGAGAGCTTTCATGTCCTCTCTGCTCAGGTCATCTTCCCCTGTAACCAGGAGCCACTAAGGACAAGGCTATCCCTTATAGAGAGATTCATAAGGAGAATGATCCTGGCATAATTCTTACAAGTTCTTCAGTTAACATTTACTTTTTTCTCACCTTCCTGTAGCCGTGCTACAGGTACAAAATGGGGTGTGTGTGTGTGTGTGTGTGTGTGTGTGTGTGTGTGTGTGTATGTGTGTGTGTGTGTGTAGGGAGATCTTGGGTATCTTACCTTTGCCTGCTTGTATCATGTAGTTTGGCAAAAAAAAAAAAAAGTCCAAGAACATAAGTCAGATATAATACATTTCCTTTGGTACAAGAGTCTTGAAACATGTCGTAGGTCATGCTTCACTTATTCTCATGCTTGTCTTTATGCTGAGAGGGAAGAAACTGTCATGCTTTATTCTACTTTATTTACTTTTGTCCCTAGAATTGAACTCAGGGTATTGTGCATGTTATACTATAATGCTAAGATACATGCCTAGTATGTTTTATGATCTTATCTATGTATTTATATATTTATTTATTTGAGATGAAGGTTATACTGTGCATCACATGCTGTTTTGAGCTCAAGATTTTTCTGCTTCACCTTCTAGAAAGCAACATGTTAGATTCTGAAGCATAAAGAATTAAGAAATTATTAGGTAAACTAGATAATGCCTAAGGTACTGAGTTCTTTAGACAGTATTAGAAACAGGGTTACTGGTTAAGAAAGAAATATGGCCATCATGTTTTCCCTTCTGCCATTCTTTTCTTCCTGCATACATTTTGATGTTTACTATATATTATACTGTGGTCATATTGTGGTAATATAAAAAGCAATTGCATGATGCATTTCCACAGGGAAATTAGGCTTAGACTTGTGGATTGGAACTGTGGTGAATGTATTCTTTACAAATAGAC